TAGCCCTATAACGATATTCTTATTTGTATAAAATGTGCTTTGATTTTAAGAAATACTAATATAGTAGAGCCAGGGTCCAAAGATTTGAACTGCAGTTGTCGTGAAATCTTGTAGGCCCTTGGAGCCGAACTGTTGCTATATGCGAGTGACTACTGTAAACGTTTGATAACATTTCACATGCATACTAAATGTTTTTAGTCTGTTTCTTGGTTTCCTAAGGATAGTTAAGTGCTCTGCAATTATCTTCTTTTTTTACTGTCATGCAATTTCATTTGATTTTGCATGTTGCGAGCAATTATTGTTATTTTCCTTTTAATTTTATAATTTTCCGATTGATGTCGATACGCCCCGACAATTGACAGGTGGGCGGGGTCAACGGGTCTAAAAGGCAAAGCCATAGACATGGTATTACTTTTACTTTGCTCGTAGCTTTATTTATTGCATTTCATGCAGACCACATTTTGGTTTTTTTTTTCTCTCTCATCATGTTTTTTACGAGCATCATCAGCGTCTCGTTGGCTCTGTTCCCTTTCAACTTTTGACCTAGAAAGTGCTTTACTTAAAGTCTTCTACATGTACTCTAGACGTCATCAGCAACATGCGGCACAGCAGGCACGCATTTTGGTGCTGACATCACAGTTTTTCAGACATATTTTCTTTTATTTTTCGTCTACTTTTCATATGCTGGGCCCAGTTTAATTACTTTTAACCAGACGCTTTGTTAGTTTTGCTATGATTTTAATTAAAAAACAATGCTTTCTCATTTTCCCTAGCTTGTATTTCCCCCAGTTTAGAATTGGATTTACCGAACTAGTTTTGTTTATTTGTACGACAAATAAATGCTTTCAATAAACGTTAATCTATTTTTAGAGGTAATTCGTAGTTTGCCTTGGTTTACCTAAGGTTCTAGGTCAAATACTTGAGATAAGTATTAAATATATGATAAATGTTTTGTGTTGCCAGCTTTTAGCGGCAATAAATTTTGTAAATATGTCAGCAGACTGTTTTACGCTATCAATAATTGTGGTAATAATTTTAGTTTTATTTACCCACTATCATTAAATTTTCGATATCATCAATATTAACATTTTATTGCCTAATTACACACCACATAAGTTTTTTTTTTTATGAAAACTATTCAATTTTATGCATATTCATTTAATGTTCACAATTGGCTTCACTTTCATTTTGGTTTATAATGCCTGGGCACCAACTATTTATTGCAAATGCTTCTGTTGTGGGATTTTGTATATCGTTTAAAAATAGCAGCTCACGTTAGACAAAACACTCAACAAATGATCTCATTTTTAGCGCATAAATTTACATTTTCTGTTTTTACAATATGCAAAAATCACACACAGGCGCTAAAGGTCAAGAGGCTGTCAGCCGGCGCGTTATGAAGTCTGTTCAAGAAATTTACGACTGCAACGTACCGAGAGCACATAAAAGAAAACCACGCCGCAAAGCTTTTGGCAGAGCAACCAACGTGAGGCAACCGAACGCGTTGAAAGTTGAAAGTCAACTGAGAAGCCAAGCCAAATAGTTGAACAACAGAACCTGCTCCGCTATGGAATACACGAATCTAAAATTGGTTTTAGCCTTATAAAGCCAGCCAGAATAATAATATATGTAGCTGGTTTCTAATTTACTATATTATTAATTAGGAGTTAAGTTGTTGTAAATATGAAATTGAAGTTAACGGTAAAGCTGGCCAATTCAAAGATCTCACGCTTTTTTATGTTAACAGGCCATGTTATGTTACTGTTAATTCGCTGATCGAGTGTTATGTTGTGTTGAGTAGAATCTGTTAAAAATCATTCTTGAGTTTACGGATTAAATATTTTGCTGAACAGCAAATAGTAGCTTGTCGGTTTCTTATTCTCAAATAAAACTTTCTTACGCAGCAGCTGCGTTAATATTATAAAAAATATGTATTATAAAGTTGTCGCATTATTCAGTTACAATTATGTGTATATTCAAATACTTTCGCCCACTGCACAATATGAACTGCAAATACAAGCCAGTCAGACGCGTTAATCCGTAATAATAACAAACTCACACAGTCAAACACCCCCATACACACATGCACATAAAAATACACACACAGTTGGCGCAAGTAAAAAAGTCCTGCGGAAGTCCCATTGACGGAAAATCGGCGCTGACACCGGATCAAGGACGCCGACGCCACAGCCTCTGTCCAAAATCAATACTCACATTCAAAGTTACCACAGGGCGCGTTCTCTTCTATTAAAATTTATTATGGGCACAAACTTTAGCCACTAATTTTACTAGTTGTGTCTATTATATGCTATGGATATAGGACTACGGGTTAACAGCTACCGACTTTGCAATGGGCGCTAAGGCCGTGAAAGCTCCGGCGCCAAAATTGATGCAATGCAGCACTACTCTTTCACATTGCCAAACGACTAATAAATATTTATGAACGGTTGTCGAGCAATCGATATATTCGATAAAAAGCATCGATACATTCAGCGCAACAAGCGTCGAAAGATCGCAAACTATTAAACAAAATAAATATATATCTAGTCGGCATATAAGAATGCGTCTTTATTAAATTCTTGCAAATTGTTTAATGTGTAAAACCAATGCTGAAATTGCTTGCGAATTGTCAATATTATATTTAAAAATTTAAATACAGGCAACTGAATAGCAGATGTTAAGAAAATATTAAAATTGCAATTAAATTATGTGGCGTTATCACTGAATATTAAATTTTATTTAAACAAATTCAAATACAATTTTTTTTATATACAAAATATTTTATTTAATGTTGCACAGAAGAGCATTAACAGATATATCGATATTTTGTTGCAACCCTATAGCGCAGCCAACTTCACTCTTTCTCTTTTCAGCCTCCATTGACGAGTGTTGGTTCGCTAATTTGTAAATTATTACAAAATGTATGTAGAAATTGGTTAATACATATGAAAACGCACAAAAAATACTGATAAAATGTTATATTTCTTATTGTAGCATAATGGAGAACGACGCCGGTGAGAATGTTGATTTGTACGTGCCCCGCAAATGGTAGGTGTTGAACACGTGTTTCGCGGCTCGCCCGGGCCGTGAGTGCAGCAGCTGAATTTACAATTGGATAACCATTATTGTTGTTTGTTTGCAGCTCGGCATCCAACAGAATCATCCACGCTAAGGATCACGCCTCCGTGCAATTGAGCATTGTTGTTGTGGATCCCGAGACCGGTCGCCAAACCGATGGAACCAAGACCTACGCCATTTGCGGTGAGATCCGTCGCATGGGCGAGTCCGACGATTGCATTGTGCGTCTGGCCAAGAAGGATGGCCTCATTACCAAGTGAGTTAATCGTATATAATATACCAATAGCATCAAATCAAATAACCCTTGTTTTTGTATTGCAGGAACTTTTAAATAAATTGTACACAACAAGAATTGGTAATAAAGTGAATTCCTTTTGTATTTAACGTAAGGTCCACTTATTTTGTGTTTTCTTTTGAACCGAAATGAACACTGGCAAGCCTGAGCATATTCGACTTGGAATCGTGATTTCATTTGGAAACCACATAGAGAACTACAATAAACCAAGGTTTTTGATTTAAAATGGACTATTTGATGCATGTTTTGTGTTAGTAAATTAGCTAATATAGCTGCTCGACTAAAGACTATTTTAGCCACCATCGCTGATAGTCTAGAGCTCGCCTTAGATAAGCAAGTTTGACAGAAACATAAGAGGAATTATCCATTACTGAACAATTGGCTCAAGGAGATACCAACAATGTGCAACTTAACCACCGCACGATGTGATGCTTCCAGTTCCGATTTTTAAATTACCCATCGAGCCTGCAGCTCTCTGGGTCATCTGGTTGAGTTATACTAGCTTACTCAATAATTTTATGTTGAGCCATTACTCTGCTACTCTCTGGCTCACAGCATATGGTTGAGCTAAACTATACATTCATTGAGTTTATTTTGACCCAATATCCAAGGATCATTTAAAAGCTGCTCGTTTCCTGCTTACATTCTGTTAAGCGCCCGACAACCCAGAGGACCGTTTTGATATATCTTAACAATGCAAATATTAAACTGAATAAAAAATAAGATAAATTATAAGATTAAATATTAAATATTCAACTGATTTTTCCGTGGCCTAATACATATTGCTCGTATTTGGCGGTTATACCAGTACGGTAAGATATTTATCGATATATAAATAAACCACGCAGTGTTGCCACATAGTGTGTATGTGGAATATTTTCAGTGTTAGGCAGCAACAAAAAATACCAACAATGCACGTGTTTCTTCAAACGTTTCATTCATTACTCTGCCCCTCAGTGAAGCACACAAGCCGAGAGGTTGCATTAATATTTTTATAAATACATAGAACAAAAACCAAATAAGAAAAATGGTAAGATTGTATATTGTGTATTCATTAAAATGTTTTACTCATAGGAGCTTCGATTTTTCACAGACCGAAGAAGTGAACCCGAAAGCATTCCCATTGGCCGATGCCCAGTTGACCGCCAAGATCATGAATTTGCTGCAGCAGGCACTTAACTACAACCAACTGCGCAAGGGAGCCAACGAGGCCACCAAGACACTTAATCGTGGTTTAGCCGACATTGTTGTGCTTGCCGGCGATACGGAGCCCATTGAGATTCTGATGCATTTGCCACTGCTGTGCGAGGACAAGAACGTGCCGTATGTGTTTGTGCGTTCCAAGCAGGCATTGGGACGTGCCTGTGGTGTGTCTAGGCCCATTGTCGCGTGCTCTGTGACCACCAACGAGGGCAGTCAGCTTAAATCGCAGATTACATCCATACAGCAGGAAATTGAAAGGCTGTTAGTTTAAGTTAAGAGGTGACTCTAGAAATGCGTACAAATCTGTAAACTGTATCATTAATAAAAAAGTGTATTTTTTAAAACATGAATTTTATTTTGTTTATAGACTGGTCAGTTATCGAAGTTCGATATTTGAGCGCATGCTGTTGTTCACTGCCGCTTTGCAACACTGCTTGAACAGCTGTTTTAAAATGTCAAAAAGTTCGCCGTGTGGAATTTGGCAATTTTTATAGGAATTTTGGTTGGTCTAGATCTCCGGCAAACCCACAACAACTAACAAAAATGCCTAACGATTCGCTTGACTTAAGGAAACATTTAACTCAATGCAAGTGACAAAAAGCATACAAAAGCAAAAAACACAAAGCACGCAACGCCTACAACAACAAAAGCAACAGCAGCAGCGCAAAAATTAAGCGTCTGGCAGCAGACGGCGGCGCTTCAGCTCGAATTTCAGCAGCGACAACAGCAATTGCAACATGAAATTACTCGGGAAATACGTGGATAAGGGCATGCAGGGGTAAGTACTATTCAAACTCACGCAATATTTATACTTATTTCCAATTCGCAGCAATGTAACCCTCGTGCCCGAGGAGCCTGAGGACATGTGGCACGCCTACAACCTAATTGCTGAGGGCGACAGCGTGCGCAGCACCACAATACGCAAAGTGCAGAATGAAACGGCAACAGGCTCATCGACGAGCAGCCGTGTGCGCACCACTCTGACCATTGCCGTGGAGGCCATCGACTTTGATACTCAGGCCTGTGTGCTGCGTCTGAAGGGGCGCAACATTGAGGAGAATCAGTTCGTCAAAATGGGCGCCTATCATACGCTCGATCTGGAATTGAATCGCAAATTTGAGCTGCGCAAACCCGAGTGGGATACGATAGCACTGGAGCGCATTGACATGGCCTGCGATCCCACCCAATCTGCGGATGTGGCTGCTGTCGTTATGCAGGAAGGCTTGGCGCATGTCTGCCTCATTACGGCCAGCATGACGCTGGTGCGCAGCAAAATCGAGGTGTCCATACCGCGAAAGCGCAAGGGCTATGTACAACAGCACGAGAAGGGTCTGGCCAAGTTCTACGAGCAAGTCATGCAAAGCATATTGCGTCATGTCAATTTCGAAATAGTCAAGTGTGTGCTGATTGCCTCGCCGGGCTTTGTGCGCGATCAGTTCTACGACTATATGTTCCAACAGGCGGTCAAAATGGACTATAAAGTGCTGCTGGATAACAAGAGCCGATTCATGCTGGTTCATGCATCCTCCGGCTTTAAGCACTCTCTAAAGGGTACGTAAGACTCGCAAGAACTGTTCACAATTTTAATTTGGATACTGTATCTTTTTGCAGAGGTGTTGCAAGATCCCGCTGTGGTGGCCAAAATGTCCGATACGAAAGCCGCTGGTGAGGTTAAAGCACTGGAACAGTTCTACATGATGCTGCAGTGCGAACCAGCCAAAGCCTACTATGGCAAAAAGCATGTCCTGCGCGCTGCTGAGGCACAATCCATAGAAACTTTGCTCATTTCGGACAATCTGTTTAGGTGAGTGCAATGAAAGAGATTATATTATAGCATAAGCACATGCTCTTATCTATTTGAGGTAGTCTATTAAATGTATTTCTAAGGAGTTAAAGTCTGTTAATAGCTTATCCTTTAAATCAGGTCATATTTAAAACTCGCTAAAAACAGGCTCTTCATTGTTCAGTTTCCTATTGAGTCAATTACCGAAAAGAAGCGTTATAAAAAGAGATTCTTATTCTTTCAAAAGGCATAATTTCGCATTATTTTAGCGATGCCCATTTGCTTTTATGTATAGAAATCTCTTAGTTGTAAGGCAATCTTAATCAAATTTGTATCTTTAATTGATATATATATTCGCTACGGTGTTTAATTTTCGGTGCAAGCTGTCTTCTCATATGTGCACAACTTCCTTAACAAGTTCGCTTTGCTGCTTTCTTATCAAAGCTTCAGTAAAAGTTAGCCTACCTAGATTACAGCTTATTTACATATTTACCTCATGCAATCAGCTTGTTCGTATTGCTGTAACCTTATCAACTGTAGTTACCTCGGCTATGTGTCGCACAACATGACAATATTTGAAGCTCAATCAAGCAGAAAGATCAAGAGCACGATCACTGACAAGCCCACAGCGTCAAACCTTAAACTTTACCAAATTGCCAACGAGTATTGCGACAGTTTTGCGTACAAAAATTATATTTTTTGGTTTTATTTTTGTTTGTCAAATGAAGCAGCTGTTGATGCGCTACATGCGCCCTATACGGCATTTAGTTAATCATTTTCAAAATGTAACTTTCACTTAGCAATTTGATTTGTCTCAACTGAGCTCAGTCGTCATAGCATGATCACCATTTGCGTTTTATGAATACATTTCATGGTTTTCTCTGGACACGGTAGTTGTACTATAATTAGAAAAACTGACTCAATCGCTGAACATTACCACTGTACTATAATAACAAAAAAGTGATCGCTAGCTTTCTAACCGATCAACAATTAAAATTATCATTTGAATATATTTTTAATACATATTTTAAGCTGTACGAGCGTTTCGTTCTAGCCTAGTGCTTCCACTAGAAGCACAAGCTATATGCGTTATTGATTCATTAAAAGATCAGTTGTGGTTTAATATGTACTGAATAATATCGTCATGCGATCGTTGAACAGAGCAAAGTTTTCCTATTCATTTGAGTTGTCTTGTCGTAGCTCAAATTTTTTCTGAGGTATTTCAGTAGATCAGTTAAAGATCAAGAATTGACGGCATGAAGATCAGTCTTTGATCAACATTCTTGTCTCTTATTTCTCGCACTTCTGTGTTTGATCTAACATCAAACGTATATTTGTTAAAAAAGTGTTGATTGTATTCGTTTGTTTATAAGGTAATAGATCACGATCATATGATCAACGATCCTATCTTTTGTAGCGCACACAGTTGTCTCCGCTTCCACTGATCTCGAGTGCTTCCAGATCTTTGGTCTGGCACAACTTGTGCACAATTTAGCCATTTAAAGAAGGCACGTCCGAAAACGCTAATTTGATGGGCCACCCCTCACCCGTCACCCCTGGCTCTGACATGCTCATGATCAAGGTTGGTCGCCCGTAGAGTCGTCGCCATTTTTGGCTCTTTATTTTGTTGTTGTTGCTTTTGTCGTTTTGTTTACGTTTTGTTTGAATTCGAATTTGTATCTGTATCTGAAAAGTGCCTCTCGCCACAGCCCGTTTACATTTTAATGAGCCGTTGAAATTCCTTTTAACTGAGCTACTAAAAAATGAAAAGATTTGTTGCTTTTTATGCAAACTGCGTGGCATGCAATTAAATTAAGTGTAATTGTTTTTGATTTACTTAGAATTAGCGCTTAAAGTTCTATGCAAAAAATGTGTGTAAATTGTTTTTTATGTTAAATTTAGCACGTTTTAATCAGTCCCTTAATTTATTGTAGTTCAGCTCTGGAGCTTCGCCTCCTACTCCTCCTTCTTCTCCTCCGCCAGCGTAATCAGAAACTATTCAAATCACAAGTCACCAAAGTCGCCTTCGTCGTCGTGCGTTTTGCTTGGGCTTTATCTCGACATTTTTGATTGCTGTTGATTGTTCCGCAAATTGATAAAGAATAGAAAAGAAGAGTACGGAATAGTTAAAAATAGGGTCTTGACTTGATAGCTCTTCAAGTGTATGTTTTAATTTACCGTCTGTCGCGCTGTTGCTGCTGCTTCTGCTGCTCGTTCCACAGATTCTTCTGTCTTTTCTGCTGCGCCAATCTATCATCCAAGTCTCTGCCTCGACTTGTTTCACAGTTCTCCGCTTGTTCACCCAGCAGCCGCTTGTTGTAATCATCCAGCGTTTCGCGTAATGGCAACAGGCGACTCGGACTGGGACTGTGGCTGGGACTGTGAGTGCAACTGGAGCCAAAACTGGGCTCTTGTGGGCGGCATTTTTTATAGAAATTATGAGGGTATAGCTGGGGATAGCCCAGCTCTGAGATTGTATAGTCTGGCTGCTTAGTGAGCATCTTCTTCACTTACACTTTATAGGAACTGTAGTTGAAAGAAAATTACAAGAATTAAAAATGCTTAATATTTTTTCTTGTTAGAATACTATAAATACAGTTTACTTATTCTAGCATGTAAGCCCTGTTAATGGACTAATCTGACATTCTTTTTGGACTTTAATCTCAAGTGTCTTTGATAACTTGATTATCTACAGTCAACACCTTGTTTATCTTTTAATTTCAGAGCATTTTCGTGCTTATTATCAATGTTAAATTTACAAACAGCGCGCCATTGTTTACCATACAAAATTAACATGCTCGTAACATATACTCAAATGTAAAACTACGAATTCTGCTTAGCTGCTTAATATAACATTCCTATGTTAAGCCCAGCGAGATAGACAATAATTTAACTACAGCTTTACTGCTATTAACTGTTAACAGTTTCACATAATATATATGATATTAATATATAAATTAAAGACAAAAAAGTCGATTAAACGATTGATCAACCGAAGCAAGTCCATGTTATGGGATATGCAATGTTTAGAATATGATCATATAATATTCCAACTTCACTGTGAAACAAAAAACCCCATGAAATTGCCATATATCATATTGCAATAACAACAGAAAAATGAATAGAAATATAGTTGCTTTGTATAAATGTTAAGTGTTGTCGATTTTGCAGTCCTATAAAGCTCATTAAACGTTGCCTCTATGTGTACGTAGGTGTTCTACTAAACGCTAAAGTTCTTAATAGTTTTTGACTCTCAGTTGTTTTTCATTTTATGTATACAATACCCCGCAAAGAAAACAAAGACTGTTGCTGTTCTAGTTTCTGTTTGCTTTTTTTTTTGCTAGTTAGTTGTACCTCTTTTCTTTACCTATACAGATGTGCTTAAGTATTTGCTATTGTGTTGCTCTTTCACACGCGTATTAAGTATTTCAAGCTTCACTCAATACGCAGTTCTTTCAGTCTGTCCATATGCATATACATTTCAGCTTTTTTGTATACGTATGTATGCTTTGTATATATATATTTCAGCTCGATTGGTCTCAGATCTTTGTTTATAGAGCTGTTTCTGTTTAGGGTAGTTGGGTTTTACAATTCTGATTTGCACAGTCCTAATAGTCATGTAAATTTAGCTATAGCTGTATCTTTTGTGTATTGTATCTGTATCTTTCCATTGTGTAAGTAACTGTATCTGTATCTTTAATGAGTATAAGTAACTGTATCTTTATATGTATCTCCTGATCGAATACAGTGAAGCCCCTACCAACGAACGAACGCTTTATCCTACAGATTTATTTATTATTAATATATCTATAATCGTATTTAATAGATTTTCAAAAAGTTCAAGCAGAGAAAAACTTAAATGGTCCTATAAAACACACTATCCCGTACAGTATTCCTACATTTTGCTTCTTTCTGCTACATATTTTTCAGTCGTCGCTCGCTTAAGAGTATTTTTACTGTATCTGTATCTGCATTTGTATCTCGACTCTATTTGCGTTTTGCCTGTTCCATTTCTTTGTGTCGCCTTCTAAGTTGCGCTAATTATTGGCACGTATGTGGGTGGTAAATACAATAACAACAATAAAATTATATATTTAACGTATTTCACTTTATTAAATCGCACCGTTTATGGTTCTGAGCTGAAGCCAAGTTTGTAGCTCTTAACTCTAACACGCATTTTGTTTATTTCTGTTTGAATTCTGGACTATTTTCTGTTTTTGTCTTGCGATTGACACACTTGGATTCCACATGTGCCGCATTCCCCTAAACTTGCCTTTGTATTCTACTCTGTAATATGATCCACTTGCGTCGAATTGTGGCAGTCTTTGGCTGCTTCTTGCAGCTCTTAATGGTTGCCACCGCACTCTCCCTTTTTCTCTGCATGCCCCATTCGAGTCGTTTATCACTTGTCTCTTGCTTCTCATTCGCATTTTCTTTTGCGGTTCTTTACTTGATTTTTTCTTATTACATTGTTATTTTTCATATTTTCTTGTTGCATTTATCTGCTGCAACCAGTTTTTCTAGTCTTTTGTTTTAGGGCTTTCTGTGCCTCGTGCAACGTGCCCCTGTTTCCAGCCGCAGCTGCTGCCTGTTGCCTCTTGTTGTTTCTGTATAAATATTGACTTGGACTACAATTGTGTATTTTGAATATTATTTTGGGCACGCGCTGCTGGGACATTTCGTGAGCTGTTTTTTATTTTTGGTTTTATTTGTATTTTATGGTGTTTGGAATTGTGCAAGAAATGAAAGGGCGCTGGTTTTTCATATATAGATATCACGTCCAAACTGTTACAAAATGTGTGACGCATTTTTTAAAAGTCATTCAAATGCCCTCAAAAAATTTTGATTTACAAATAATATGTGTTCAAGTAAAAGTTTTTTATATGATTAATGATTAGATATTTTTTTGAAGTTGTGCTTAAATTGAAGTCAGATCGGGTCCTATTTTATATCTTTTGTTTAAACAAGATGTTTTAAAAAGGTTCACAACATTTGAAACATGTTTTTATTTTACTTTATATAGTTTTATTTAGGTAGTTTTAGTTTCCATTTAAAACATCCGTATAATTAAAAAGTTATACGATTTTGAAGTTAAAAAAGCTTCAAATATGCATTTAGAATATATTTCAAAATTTTCTACTAACAAATTAATTTTCCAAAATTATTATTATTATTATATATATATATATTATTTTTCAAATTTAAATGCAGAATTTATCGAATAGGCAAAACTATGAACAATGTGGTATTCCTTATGAAAATTGATTTAGATATTACAAAATAAAATTAATATTTAAATTCGAATTCATTTTAGTTAAGATAGATGTTTTATATTTGTTCAGCTCTCCTGGCAGCACTCAAGTTTATAGAGTATCTAAAATTTGACAGCTCGTGGCCAGCTTTTTGTCACTCTTTGAAGCTGTCTTGTATTTGGGTTAAGTTGACGTAGTGGCATATAAAGAAATCGGTGATTGATCAAATCTTTGGTTCACTTTGGTTCACTCACTGCATGCTGTTGCCATTAAAAGCAAGTGAATTGATTAAAGATAGGTACGACATACTCTCCGATCAAAACACGTATAGTGAGTTTTTACAGTTAGTTTATTGCATTAAACAAAAAAAACGAGTTTTGACGTCTGGTTCGCTTAAATGAAAGACCGCAAAGTTGAGATGCAAAATTTTCCAACATTTTGAATTCTGAATTTTTCACTCGCACAAGTTCATTTTAATTTAGATGCTAACTGACATGCGATACAGTTAATTAGGCATTTCCCCCCCTGCGTCTTGAGGCCAGTGACGTTGGCCTTTCTACGTCTCTCTACAGCGACCTCAGCTTAACCGCGCCTCCCCCGAACGCTCATGGCTCTTTCACCTACGTTCCGTTAATTCCATTATAACAATTGATTTCATTGTGCAATCATTGTCACGCAGCAGCAACAACCAAAAAACAACATCAACAATGAATTCAATTCATGACTGCGGTTAGCGGATGAGCAAAAAGATACACAGGTATCTCACAGATACACAGATACAAATGCTGCAGCTGCAATGCCCAGCGCTGACTCAAGCCGCAAAATTCCAAAGTAGTCTATAAAAAAAATCCCAAAACTTGATTTCGTATTTTACTATTTTTTTTTTTAAACCTTTTGCACTTGACATGGACAACAACAATAACTTTCACTTTGGCCTGCACGCACCTTTTGCTTTCTCTCTTGTTATTTTTCTTGTGCTTTTCTTAGCACCAATTTCTTTTTGCGTGGCAAACGCGTCGCGTTGTGTTTTCTTCGCTGCAATTCTTGCTTCTTGTATTCTTCTGCCCACTGTGCCGACGTGCGCGTCGCAAGAAAGCCGCTTTACAACTAATTCTACACGAACAGACAGCGAGACGGTCTCTGCCGCTCGCTTAAGCTCTCTTTGGATACCCTGTGCCGAAATACTATACAGGGTATATTAATATTTTTATTATTTTTTAATGTGGTGGGTACATGTAAACTCGTATATTATATAACCGTAACTGAAGATAGAGTTAGAAACTTGCAAGATGGCAAACAATCGATAGCATTGTCGATATCATCGATAAGTTATTCGATTGATCAACTTGTATTTAAATTTGAACTGAAGCTAAAGTTACAAACTTACAAGTAGGCAAAGATTCGATAGCATTGTCGATATTATCGATAAGTTTGTGAACTGAAAAGCTTGTAATTAAATTTAAACGCCCAATAATTGCTTAAAAATCCCTTGGCTCATTTGAAGGTTGCTTACGCAATCTATTATTTTTTTCTTTTCATTAATAAACTACGTTAAATATTGTTATATTTCTTAAGTATATTTGGGTATAACCATTTAAAGTTGCTTTTAGTTTGACTTTTGGTTTAATACGAAGCATATCCGAAGTAAATACCGTTTGCAGGATATACCCTAGTCGGGCAATCACACAAATAAATGCTGGTGTTTATCTTTTTCTTCTCTCTAACGGCTACACGTGCTGTGGAACGCATTGCCACGTACTCACGAATGGCATCCACAGGGAGAGCTAAAGAGAAAGGCACTTGACAGAGAGATCGTTAGCTAATCTGGTCACACTGTATTGCTCTTTGGGTGCGCTCTTAACACAATAAAACCACAGAAACCGCTTTTTGTGCCTTCAATATAAAATGATAATTGAAATTTTACCTGTGCTGAATTTCATTTTACTTTTTTTAATGGGAAGGCGAAGTTTTTATTTGCGAATTTTTATCTTTGTAGCATTAACATTTGTTAAGGTTTTTGAACCTCGCCGGCAATTTGAGCACTCGTACTTTCCAGAGTTAACGATTTGACATGACAACTTGCATTTTCATCGCAATTAGCCCAATGACTATAACTGTAACCTTTGTCGCGCTCGCAAACCCATAAATTCCAGCTCAACCTGACACCCTATGCATTATGTATGGCGGTGGGGTGGTGCACCCATCATATGACTTTTGCGTCAATGATTAAGCGTGTCGCTATTTTCAGCGAGTATCGAGTATCGGATTGTGGATGTGCAATATCACGTAGTTTGAATCGTAATAGATATTAATTGTCTTTATATCTATAAATATGCCTAATGCGGCTTCAGGGTTTCATGCAGCGCTATTTCGTGTTGGTATTTCTGTATTTTGCATGCTCCGAATGAAAGCATATGTAACTGATCTTAACTGTAGCTTAACTTTGTGCATTTGTAATGTTTTCTGTGTTGTTTTCCCTGCCTCTTTACTTGAAAGCGTTAAATTCCTTTATGTGGATCTTATTAGATGCCTTTGCGAGTTTAGATAGTACTCATATTATCGAGGAATATACTTGTACATAATTATGTATTATGTGTTTTTTTTAAAGGAAATTTATTTTTTTTTTCTGCATAGATCTTGAATATTATTAATTGTCTTATCGAATTAATCCACAAAATCTACATATTTGCCTCTAGATACGCGATTCTTTGGGATAACTTTAGAAATTTATTAAGGAAAAAGGGTTTTAGATGCCTGTATTAATTTTATATTCAAATAAAACCAGAGCTCACATGCTACACACCAGGAATAATTTCTTACCCAACTCTTGTTGCTTTTACTAAGAATATTTAACATATTTTATTTATATTAAATTCCCTAATGTGAATATCGTATGCTGCCTAAAATCCACAAGTTCTTTAGGTATAAATTACTAGTTTTTATTTTAGTTAAGAAAACTAGGTGAAATTTTTAAATTTAAGCATGTTTTTACATGTGATTCCCATCATTTTGAGCTTTTAGAAAACTTGACCTTAATATATTTTAATTATATATTTATGTAATATCTATTTTCGATTTCTCTGTTTCTTTTATGCAGATGCCAAGACGTTAATCTCAGGAAAGAATATGTCAACTTAGTTGAATCGGTGCGCGATGCTGGCGGCGAGGTGAAAATATTCTCCAGCATGCATATATCGGGAGAACGTGAGTATTTTGAAAGAAATAACGCTCGTTAACTTTAGGAATTACTATGGAAGAAGGTCTTAAATAGTAAATTATTAGTAACGAAAATTAGAACTTTGAGTTATGGGAACTTTCTAGAAATTTAATTATACATTTTCATCGCTTTTGACCTCTTGTATTTAAAAGTTTTTCTTAGAGTAGCAAGTTTTTATTTTTGAAATTGATCTATGAAAATCCTTGAACATTTATATCTCAATTGAATATGAAGATTTTTAATTTGTAAGTCAGCTAAAGAATCGCACTGCATGCTCTCTAGAGAAAACATGCAAAATGTCTATGCCTGATGTTCAGTTTGGTATAGAAAATGTATACACAGGCCTCCCCCTGTCTAATGACCTCGTTAAGAATTCTATTTTTACATGGCTTGCACTGCGTATGCAAACAGATAAATGTACACATATACATATGTGTATATAGATATATATTTTTTGAAGGAATCTCCTGCAATGCATAATTTACGCAATTGGACTTTAAGCCCATTGCACATCATTTTGTCTTGAGGGCACTTTCAATTTCCAATATAAATTTAACTTGGCGTTAATTAAAATTGCATTTTACATTTTGTGTAAATATTTTTGAGGCGCTTTAAATAGCAATTCGTTGCGCCCTGCGGCTGCTTGGTAAATGACTCACGTGTCGCATTTGTTGGGTATTCTTTTTGTGTTCTTATCAATTGCGACTGCGACTTGGCAACGTTTTTTTGCCAATTTAAATACCCTGTATACTGAGAAAGTTGGGCATAACCAAACTATTAAGCTTAGCAATTTATTGTAGCAGCTGGAGATGTTTCCAACAGGTAGTTTGTATCAGACAGAAATGAAGAATCGTAGCATATTCATATTTCTGTAGATATTGCCTTGAGTTTTGGTTTACAAGTGGCTCAATATTTGGTTATATAATCTGAAAAGTTTGTATAGATCGTATTATAAAAAAAATTATTTACGAAAATTTGCAAAGTGTAGATCAAATTGTGCGGGTAGATTTAACTGAATTTAAATACATACTTAACATAATGCAAGTGACTGCCTAAATAAATATATTTGAATATATATATTATATATTATACGTATCTTATCTTTTTTGTTTATATAAATCGCTTATGTCCTTTAGAGATCATTGTTTTGGTTCAAGTTTCGGTTCACAGCAAAATAAAAAATATTGAATTGCAGGCTAAAATTGGTTCTGTATAAAAACAATTTACGGACTTTATCAAAGTCCAATTTATTTAAATTTTTTATAGTTATAACTATAAGTATTGAAAAATAGTATCAAGCTATAGACCCAACTTTTCAACTAGCGCTGACTACATTCAAAACAGCTCGACATTTGAAACCAGAATTCCTATGGTCAGTTATTTTAAATGCATATATGTATATATATATTCCTTGTAGAGGGTATAATAATTTTCCATGAAATGTGTAACGCTTAGAAGCAGTCATCTCCGACTTCATAAAGTATATATATTCTAAATCAACATCAATAGCCGAGTTGATATAGAAATTGCCGTCTGGTTGTCTCTGTGCCAACTAGTCTCTCAGTTTTAAAGCTATCGTCAAGATATCGTGACCGAAATCGGTATTCATAAGTTTCACTAGCCTCCTCGTATATATGAAAATCTTATTAGCCCGGACCACTATATCATAAAGCTGCCATAGGAATGATCGGTCGAAAAGTACGGCAAAATATTCTGTTTTTCAAGATATTTTCATAAAACAGCATTTGCGAACTATACTATTCGGTCATACCTACAAAACCTTAAGTAAAATGTCTACAATTCTTTGGTATGCCAAAGATATTTTTACTTTCTCGTTATTAGTGACTATCGTAGGCCTTTAAAGGGTATACTCTAGTTCAGCACACTCGCATTGAGCAGCATATTTGCTTGTATCACGTAAATGGGTCGCCGTATTTCTAAAATAGAACCCAATACTTTGTTGCTATTGTAACTTGTACAGCTCGTACCGCTTGTAACATGAAATTTGCATATCGGGACTGTCTTTCAACGCCACTTGAACATTTCCACATAAGTTTTATTTAACGCGTTATCGCTGGAAGCGCCTCCTCAAGTGCCTTTCCCCCGCCTTTTCTTGTTGCTGTGCGATCGTTTTAATCAGCTTGAAATTACTTATATATAAACATTGTTGGGAAATGTAAACAAAATAACAATTCAAGTACTTGATTTAAATTGCGTGTAGATAAAAGAACGCAGCAATTTCAATGAGTAAACAGTCAAAAGCCCGAACAGAAACGATCAGAACCTATACTAAAGCCAAGCATATTGAGCAATTCACACAGTTCTGCATGGTTTTTGTTTTATTTTTTTGTTTTTCTATAGTTTATAGAGCTCCACATATTTAATTGCCTCAGGAACATTTGCATATTGTAAGTTGTAATACCTTAGTTTTTTTTGCGGCTCTCCAAGTTGAATGTTAAGTTCAAATGTGAGTCAGTTCTCTAGAACCGGTGAGCCTTGACTATGTCAGCTGCAACTCCTACGCCCAGTGCAAATAATGAAAAAAAAAATGTAACTGGTTTGCTTGGACTGCGTACTGGCCTTGGCTTAGCGTACTGCAAGACCAAAGCTGTGGGAATGCGCTTTACCCAAGAAAACCACTGATAACTAGAGTTCTTAAGCTAGTTTAATCTCGGACCGGATGCATAAATTGTGCAATTAACTTGTTTTGCTAATCAGTGAGTTCACCTGTGGTTTAAAGTCTAAGAATAACAATTTTCCACTTCTTAACTAGTTGACAAAGTCGTTCACAGTTAGCTGGTTCCAAAATCCTGTTTGTGCGATCTTAAAATTTGTAGGAAAAATAAGTAGAACTACTTTTTGTGCTTGAATTAATTCTGTATTTATTTTTCAATCGTTTTGATATAATATAATATAACCAAAACCATATTTTTAAATGTATTAAGAACTTCTGGAAGGTTATCGATATTTATCGAGTTGCAGGGATATCGATATTTATCGATTTGCAGGGGATATATAAATTTATGGATTTTCAGGGGTAATAGATAGTTATCGATTTGCGGAGTTAATCGATATGAGGGCAACAAAGGCAGCCATCATAAAATAATTATGCAAATTAGATTTGCTCATGATATATGTATAGCTTTTATAGGCTCTAACACTTACTATACTATACTTTTTTGACTTTATATCTTATTGTCCTACTTATTAACTTCGAAAAACTTTAATAAAACTTTGAATTTTCAGAACTCGCTCAGCTGACGGGCGTGGCGGCTATTCTGCGTTTCCCTATGCCCGAACTGGAGGATAGCGACGATGATGACGATGATGATGGTGCGGCGGGCGGCGATAATAGCGATAGCGATTAAGTACTATATCCTAAAGATCCCATAGCATTTTATTTCAAACGATTTATTGGACTTACTCGAGAACAAAAGCGGCGAACGCAAGACTCGTGCAGCAGTTTTTAAAAACATACAAGCAAATGAAAAAAAAAATAACCGAAAAACATATAATTATAGAGTAATAGGTACTACTTTTGACAGACTTGGACTGTGTCAGGGCATATACAATATACGAGTACTATATATACATATACAAAACTTAGGATATACGATGAGCGACAAATCGTTAGTTAAAATTCATTAAAACAAATTTTTAAAACAGTTTCTATAGCCAAGCAACTAGGTCTAGCTTTACCTATAAAGCCAATATATATATTCCCCGTCATCAGAACTAATCCTCCCCAAACAGAAACCACGCTATGCATAACAAGGAATGTAAACAAACATATGTAAAATTTTACAATTCCATAGTTCTTTCTCCCTCCGTTTCTACTATATATTTATAACTATTCTTTTTATTGCTTTACTGCTGTATTTTTGTTGTTATAATATATATATTTTTATGATTATATTCTAATTTTTATGCGATTCATGTGTTCTATTCAGATACTGTAAAATTCAAAATCGATTATGGCGAGTTCTTATTGTACGAACGTTTATTTAAGCTTTAAAAATATAACGAAAAACTGTGCAACATAATCTATTCAAATAATATCTAAAACGATCTGCTTCTTAAATCCGCCTTGATATATCAGCCATGGGTCATCCGACTTGTTGGACGCCGGACCCGTCAGGATCCGCAAGGATAAGGCTGAACTATGGACCATTTTCTGTTATCTTGGCTCCTTAAAGGAATTTCGGCCTTATAATTGAATATTCTGAATTGCCTGGACGAGGACTGACCATTGCCCAAAGGACATTTGGATAGCCCTTGAAATGGTAGCTTAAGACTTTTTTTTATTAAATAAACGCAATTTTTTTAAAATATAACGGAAATTTATTTCGTTCGGTTTTGGGATTCATTTGAAAGGTCATTTAAATATAACCCCCGAGAGTATGCAATAGAATTAAAAAAAAAATGGCCAACAACTTTTATGAAATTTTATTGAAATCTCAGGAGCCACCAGATTAATTAATTGAAAGATTAATATTACCCTCGAGCGAACGCACATGGGTGTTATTACAAAATCCATGATATTTCATGGACTACAAGGACTTTGATGTCCTTTGGACAGTTAATAGTCCAGATCAATACAATTTTGTTGGCACATCACTCGTCAGGATCCGTAAGGATATGGGAGAGTTATAGGCAATTTCATGCTGAAAAACTTGTCCTTAAAATTCTGCCGTTTGAAGGACTTTCGTCCTTCTCTTTGTATTTTACGAATTGGCCGGAAAAGCACAGTCTGCTCGCCTAAGGACATCCCAATAGTCCTTTAAATAGCCGAGCTATGGCCGATTTTGTGTTCACGTCCTTTTTAGGAAAAGAGGAATAACTCGGCCATATCCTTGCAGATTTTCAAAGGACTTGGTGCGTTAGGATCGTATGAACCAACCGCATCGATCTGCATCAAAACATTATGGGGTCATCTAAGAATCATGGACTTGGTAATTTTTCAGTCGCGGGCCGCAAGGAAAATTGACTGAAATCACACAATTACAGTAAAATGGCTATATTTCTGAAACTACAAGGACGATCTTGATGTCCTTTGGCCAGATGGTAGTTCTAGTCAATACAATTTTTTTGACACAGGACTCGTCAGGATACACAAGCATATGGCCGAGTTATACGCAATTTTCTGTTGCAAAATTTGTCCTTAAAACTTTGCCGTTTGAAGGAGTTTCGTCCTTTTTGTGACTGATTCTTGACTGGGAGGGTGAGGAGTATCTGCTGGCCAAAGGACATCCCAATAGTCCTTAATATGGCAAAATTAGCCCCTATATTTTCGATTTTGGCCAATTTTGCGACCAAACCCCTAGCAAAATTGTCGCGAAATTTTTTGTCGAATCCTAGAAATCCTTGAATGCCAATCGGTAGTCCTCCACCATACGAGTTAAAAAAGGTATATCCTTCCGATATCCTTAAGGATTTTGCCGAGTTATGGCTAAAAATACATTATCCTTTTCAGAAAATTAGCGGTAGTTTGGAAACTACAAGGACGAATTTATTGTCCTTTGGCCAGTTGATAGCTCTAGTCCATACGAATCGTTTAGCGCAGGACTTGTCAGGATCCGCAAGGATTCGGCTGAAATATGGGTATTATAATGTACAAAAGAAATGTCCCTATATCTCGGATCTTTGGAGGACTTTCGTCCTTTTCTTTGTGTATTTTGAATTGGCAGGACAAGCCCAGTATGCTCGCCAAAGGACATCCCGATAGTCTTTTAAATAGCCAAGTAATAGCCGATTTTCTGATCATGTCCTTTTTAGAAATATAGCCATAACTCGGCCATATCCGTGCAGATTTTCAAGACTTGGTGCGTTAGGATCGTAAGGACAATCTGCACCTATTGGCATTTAAGGATGTGTACGTAATGTGTTAGAAATACGAAATTCTTATTATTTTTGAAACGGAAATGACTGTGAATGTCCTTTGGGCAGTTTATACCCCTGGTCTCTACGATTTGCGTGCAACAGGACTCGTCAGGATTCGCAAGGATACAGTCAAACAGAAGCTTATTTTCATTGTTAGAAAATAATATCTGTTTATCGACTGTATCCTTACGGATATCGTGCAAGGACTCGCTGAGTTATTACATTTTCGTATTTTTATTGGGTTTTGGGTATGAGCTAAGACTAAGATCAAGACACAGGTTCTGGAATAGCGCGAGCTAGCCGTTTACTTTGCGCCCAAGTGGGCGGCAGCTGCAGCTGCGGCAGCGGCCGCTTTACGCGCCTCCCGCTTGGCCAACTTTTTGGCCTCCTTAGCATCGGTCTCGATTGTGCGGCGCTTCTTGCGCAGCAACCACTCTTCCTTCTCCTTGGTCTGTTTCTCGCGTATCAGCTTGCGGAAGAGATTGCGATGACGCGGTTTGACCATGCGTGCCTGTAAACGATGTTCATCCACCTCTGCCTTGTGCACCTGCCTCTTGTTGACTTTATGCACTTTGCCCGATTGCACAGACATTTTTTGTTTCTGCAAGCAATTGATAAAACTTTAATAGAATTTGTATTAAGAAAAAACAGTGAATGACGTACCTCTTCTAAAAGTCGCTGCGCCTTTTCATCGAGCTCCTCTTCCTCGTCGTCGTCGTCGCTTTCCTGCTCCTCCTCATCGAAATCCTCCTCGTCGGAGTCTTCCTCGTCCTCATTGACACCATCGGCACCCCCATACTTTTTGTACTCGGCCGTCTCCTGTTGATAGGCGCGCTGCAGCTGCGCATCGAGCAGCTCCTGTTCAACGGTATCATCCTCTTCCTGTTCTGCTGTAGCGTCATCTTCTGATTCCTCATCGCTTTGAGCTGTGGAAAATGGCTGAGATTAGCATATTGGCATGTGGGCTGTTAATAATCTAATCTCTTACCATGTGTTTCGATCAGGGAGGGATCATGTAGAGCCTTCTCCTCTGGCGGTATGTAAGTGTCGCGTTTGGCATCGACAAATGGCGACAGGTGAGGCGGCAACTGCTCGCCTAGGAAGTACTTGTTGGTGGGCAGCAGCTGGCGCTGATTGACACAATCGAAGATCCACTGGGGCTGTATGTAGTCCCTGGATATGTACTGTGTGCTTAGGCTGGGTCTGTCCACAATCTGATGTGTTATGGTTTCATCGCTCTCATCGTACGTGGCACCCGAAAATACAGACGAATCCCAGGATACTTTGCCGCCAAAGGAGCGTATGATGATGACCAACGGCTCGCGTGGCACCTCGCGATTGATAAAGAACTTCAAGCCTTTGAACAGGGAGCGCAGCCGCGTTACTTCCTGTGCTTCCTGTTTCATTTTGATGATGCGTTTGGAGTCACCATCCTGTTCCAGCAGCTCCATATCGATATCGGGCTCCTCCTCATCCTCCTGCACTTTATCTGTGCGCAACAGCTCAAAGTTAAGCGCCGTAATGCGATCCGACACGAAGCTGGACTCGTCTTTCAACGTGTCCGCGTTGTCCTGCAGCATGTTGCTGGGAAACTGTGGTGGATAGGCCAGGTTAAGGCTATGATACAAACGGAAATTCGTGAAGCCCAACATGATGGTGTAGAACTCGACGAAAATGGACATGACTTTGAAGTCCACCTCGTGACGCGACTGTGGCTTGAAGGGATAATAATGTGGCACTATCCAGGTGACCTTCTGACCCTTGATCTCTGCTTGGAAATAGTAGCCTTTGATGGAAATAAAAACCTTGCGCAGAGACTTGGAGGCAATCACATAGTGCAGAAACTCGATGGTCAAGCGGCGGCAAAGATTCGACTGCTCGCGCGGTATCAAATGCAACGATGGAAATGTGCTGAACAGAAAGAGTAGCGTGAGGCAATCGTCCAAATCCTTGAGCGCATCAATGAATGTGGGATAACGTTCCTTTACTATGTGATCGAGCTTGATCTCTGGGAACATCGCCAGGCGGCGCTTCAGATTGCGAAAATCCTTGATGGCGCGATCGCGACCCGATTTCTTGGCAAAGATCTGCAAAGCAATAGGAGACATATTATTACAGTATGCAAGCATTATTATTCAGTTGTCCAAATACCTTATAGTCACGCAGCGTCCACACAATGGGCTCGTGCAGCAAAAACCGTATGTCCTTCGCATGGTACAGGATCTTAATATCCGAGGAGCCTTTCTGAGCACGTCTTCTGTGCTTCGGCTCGCGCGGGTAAACACCCTTTAATATGCACAAGCGGCGAAAATCATTCAAGGATAGCTGCAACTTGCGCAGTGCGGCACGCCGACTTATATACTGTGTGGCCTCGCCTGACTCGTACTGCAAAGAAAATTATGCAGAGTTAAAAGGACACAGCAAATATGCTTAGAAATTCAATATACCGTTCATTTGGTTAGTGTATGAAAAATAACCTCACATCTTCGCATTAAATTGCGTGTTAGTATTTTACGTACAACTCACCTTCTTGGGACGTCTCATTATGAAATTCTTATAGGGGGGCTATTAATTAGCCTAAATCAACTGTATTTTACAGCTGGTTCGCGTTAAAATTGTTTTATTTTATTTAAAAACACG